TCAGACACAAAGATCACTCAAAACCAACCATCGAGTGAGAGAGTGGTCAACGAAAAAGAGAACCTTTCAGTTGAATCATCAAAATATGGATCAAATAAAAGTGACGTGTCTTTAGATAAACAAGAATCTGATGAATCAGTTGTTGACAGAAGTGGTGAAACAGAACCTAAAGTACAGAAACCTGTAATAAAAGGACGAAAAATATTACGGAAAGCCGACAGAAATAGAGAAGAGAGGGCTCACGAAGAACCAGATGTTTGTGAGGATAAAGAGGTGGAAGTGTTGAACAAATTGTCTGAATTAGAGATATCATCGGTTGAGGAGAAAGCTATCCAATCAAGTGATTCACTAATAAGTGAAATGATTGAAAGTGATGTTAAATCAGAAGAACCCAAATCTGAAGAAACAGCTGTTGAAGGAAGTGATGAAAAGGAGTGTAGAGTAGAGAAGACTGTAATAAAAGGACGAAAACTAATACGAAAAGTGGATAGAAGTAGAGTTGAGACGACTCCCGAAGAATCTAATGTTTTCGACGAAAAGAAAACAGAAGTGTTGAGCAAATTGTCTGAATGTGAAGTATCGTCGGCTGAGGAGAAAGTGATTGAATCAAGTGATTCACCGATGAGTGCGACCATTAAAAGTGACCTCAAATGCTCGGAACCACAGTCTGATGCAACTACTGGTGAAGGAAGTGATGCCTCGGAGACAAAAGATAACAAAAATATAATAAAAGGACGAAAATTAATACGAAAAGCGGATAGACTTAGGGAACAGACGACTCACGAAGAATCTGAAGTTTCTGAGGAAAAGAAAGCAGAAGTGTTGAGCAAATTATCTGAAGTGAATCCGACCAACAAATGGAACAATTGGTTCAGTGATATCAAGTCGGCCGCAATGACAGCCACGTCAACGACTGTTAACCACATGAGCAACGCTTCCAATAAGTGGTCGTTTGATACAAAGTCGTTGCTGTCGGGCGCTGTCACCATCACATCAACTGTCGGTATGTGTTGTGTCTGTCATTTGTTTGACATACTTATGAAGCTATGATTGTTTAGGGACTGGACTCAACTCAATCGTTGATAATGTGAGTTCAGTGGTGGACACAGCCATAGGTGTGCCCCCACCCGAACAAATGGCTGCTCTCGTCACTCAAGACATGGACTCCGAGACAAATACTAGACTCGGAGGCCCTTCACAACAACCAAATGAAGTGACAAATGAGTCTTCCAGTGAATCGAGTTTTAGGTCATTATTCGACTCATTCAGTGGTAAGAAAACAACAGGTGCTGTAATCCCTAACATAAGTGATTTTGATAAACGAAAATAATAGGGAATCGAAATTTTATTCAAACACTTCAATGTTATTCAAATGGTTTTATAAGATTTAAGACAATTATTTAAAAATGTTAATTCTATCTCAAACTTAATAGGATTTCTAATGATATCCATTTCATTCATATAATCCATAATTTATATTTCAAAATATTTTGTTATTGAATAATTTATTTTAAAAATCTAAATAAATTTGAAATTCAGTCCAATTTGTTTTGATTGATTTGTTGAACTCTAATATCGATTTGTCTGAATTGGAACTTCCATTCGGGATCAAAGAGGAACTGTCTTTGATCGAAGCGATTGTCATCCGGAGAATAGGTCTCCGAATGTAATGCTGGCGTTAATACTGTTTGTTTGTGTCGATTATTTGCATATAATGTGAAAAATCGTTTGACTTTTGCTGCGATCACTTCCGGAGATGTGGTTTGACTCAAGTCTTTGATGACGGAACTGATGTGATGGCAATGCCTCTCCTCCCATAGTTTACAGAACATGCCGTATGGACCGTAAGCACCGAATTGGCCTCTCCTTAGTTTCCCGAAAACACTCAATTCATCGTAAGTGAGACCCAAGTCATCCTCATCCTTCTGGTCTTCGCCGGTGAGCTCTGCGCTGGGAATCGCGTCCACTATTCTATTGATGGCATTATTAGTGTCGGGAATAAAGTCTTTGCAAAAACGCATAAAATTTTTCAAATCATTTTTGCTGATGGAACCGATGGGGTTGAGGTCGGCCGAAGAGCAGTCATATTTGGTGAGATACCCGACCAGAGCCTCGTCTACATTACCGGTGGCCAACACGAGTCGTTTGCCTTCACTCATATAGTAAGTCAAAACCATTCTGAGTCTCGCCTGAAGATTCTGCTTCTGCAGAGTCACTACATTCTCGTCAACTGAAGTCTCCGTCGGAACCGAACTCCCAATTAATTTGAAGATATCATCAAAATTGTGAGCGAAGAAGCGACAGTTCACACTCTGGGCTAAACTCTTGGCCCTATCATAGCTGTCTTGACCCGAATATCTTGTGGACAAATAAACGCATTTCAGGAGTTTATTGCAAATATCTTTCGGTGAATGAATTTTATCGATTACATCGGGATCTTTGAATACAATCTTCAAATAATCTATAATTTGTGTGTTTTTAAGAGTGATTTGTTGGTGAAGTAAAGTACAGAGAGAATAGACAAGACATACAACAGAACTCGAGTCTAAGCCCCCACTGAGGGGCACAATAAAGCCCTCGAGACCTCGTTTGATGCAACGCCTCAAGTAATCCCAGAGCCATAGGGAACAGTAGACCATTATTTCTTGCTCGGGCCTCAGATTCAAGTGATTCATAGAAATGGGTTTTTGCACAGTGTTTGATGTCCTCAATATATTAAATCCATTTATATTAATGGTAATGATTTGCTGTATATTTAAGTCAAGACTATTATAATTATTTCCTTTTGAAGCGTCAAAAATCAAATTATTTCCCATTATTTTGTGGGTTTGAGTTTTGATGTTATTCTGGAGCCTGTATTGCGTGACATCGTTGGGATCGATATATGCGATCGCAGTCTGGATCTCATTAAACATCGTTTCCCTATCACTAGTCATAGTCAGGAGGTCTCCATTCATGACGACAACACTCCGGCCATAGAAACAGAGGCGTCCGCCGCCGTCACAACCAATTTGGTTGGCGAAGGCATAGACTCCGCCCGACTTGAAGGTTGCGCTCTTCATTAGATCCAAAACTCGACAAAGTTTACGGATCTCCCAATAAGAGGCTGAACTGTTTAGTATCAAATGACAGCCCCTTTTGCCGTAAAGGCTTATATGTTGTGCGTCTGAATGCCATAACTCTTCGCAGATTTCAAACCCTATTCTGAATGTAGAGGCGCTGACCATAGAGTGGGTCGAGTCTAGTGTTAACTCTAAGACTGCTTTATCTCCGAACGGAGCTCTTGTTTGGCCGTTGACTGCAGTAATCAGCGGCGGTAATGAATACCAGGCCATTAAGCCCTGGGAGCCGTCATCCCAAGCTGTAAACCATCGACTTTCCCTGTAGTTGCCATTCAATGCTAATCTTGTTTTCGGACGAATTAAAACAATTTGGGAGTTAAGCAGAAGAATACGACAGTTATAGAGAGCGGAGTCCTTCAGAACTGGCATTCCTTTCAATGCAATCAATTATAAGTCAATGAAGCGTTCATTCAGTCATTATTCAAAGATATAGTACCAATATCTATGAGAATATCCTTAAAGTCCTGTTCAATGATTTGTGCCAATACTTGCCACGAGTGATAAGTGGTGTCCATTTCATAGAAGGCATCCTCACAGCCATAACCAGTGATTTCGAGCTCAGGTCCCACTCGTATGGAAGCGCCCAAATCGATGGCCTCTTTGATACTTTGGATAATTCTCTTTGAATTTCCGTCAAAATCAAGTGATAACTGATTGAGAGAACAAACGGCAACTCCGATCCGAGACATCATTTTCCAGAACTTATTGTTGTTTTAGTGAATGAATGAAAAGTTTAAATAGTATTCAATTTGAAGAGACATTAAACTACTTATGACTCAATACGTCATACATTCGGACTTTTTATCATCATTTTATCTAAACTTAAGCCACAAAACAAACTAATTATCTATTATTTGAAGTGTGAACTTATTATTATTTTGATTTTGTATTTAATTTGTAATTTAGTTATCTTCTAATGAGTTATAAAAAGAGGCAATGAATAGAAGGCATGGATGGCAGCAATGGTTGTATGCATTCTCTAAACTCTAAACTTTATAAGAAGTTCTTAAGTTTGGAGTATTTTCTTAAATCTCTTAACAAGTTTTCTGGTCATAAGTAGTGATACAATCAAAAACAATTAACAGATATATCTGATTTGTGTAAAAAAGAGATAAAGTAATTTAGACTATGAACATGTGAATTACTCCAGATTATTGAAGTGCATATTGGATATACATTGGGATATTTGCTATGAATTTATCAAAATTGTATGAAATATTTAAATTATCGATAAACTACACAAAAATAAATTAAATTAACATTTAGTAAATAAGAAAGTAAATATTAAGTACATTTAATCAAAATAAATAAGAATGTTCCAATTTAAAACTATAACCTTGGTCATTGGAATATAGCCTATTTTTATGTAATTTATAAACAAATATTTACTTTTACTGCTTATCTAATGATAGTTTAATAACAATAAGATTAATTATCAAATCTAATTATCATAATATAAAAATTTAATAAATAATCAAAATAATTACCAGGTTCAGAATACAAATAAAACTGAATTTCAAGAGTCAGCCACTGATTGGGAACACAAACACTATTAATATAATTGTAATACTGATGTTATGTAATCATATTAAGCAATGGTGCATAACTTATGAAAACTTATTTTAAATACTAATGTGATTGGGAAATAATAGTTGAACTTTAATCTTTAATTGTGCTTGAAAATAGTAACCTGGTAAGTATTGTATCCAGGATGTGATGCCAATTGCAGCTCATTTCACAACAGAGAGCCGTGTATTGAGTGATTGCATTGAGTGATGAGCACTCGTGAGCACTGACTGTGTGTTTGCCGTAATTAGTGTTACTGTGTGTTGACATGCATTCAAGTGGTGAATGAAATGTCAAAACAATTAAATTGTTTGTAAATATAGTAAAGAGTGAAAGAAATATGAGTTAATAGTAATGATATTAAGACTAATTGTTATATAAATGAAATGTTATGTAAATTAATGCTATGGATAGTCATCATAGACTTGGAGGCAGCCATAGGGTGGACGCAGCACCTCCTCCACCACCAGCAGCCCTGTGCTCACGTCCCACCATCACCTCATCAGGTCTCACATCCACTCACTTTCTATGCATTTATGTGTCCATTCATGGCATCAATGGTCTGTGTGTTGATCCACAACTCACACCACTTCTTAGTCCATAACCCAGTCGTGTCTCATCTGAGAACCATTGATGGAGTAATGAGTTGCCATTTGAATGTGTCTTATATTTGAAGGTAAATCACATCCATTTGGAGGACAGGCATACAATCCATAAGCGAAGTGCGGACCAACCCTTACGGATCAAAGTCTTCTATGATTCCAGTGTTAAGAGAATTCCTATCGAGAAGTTTCAGATAATTAATGTAAGACTCGATGATTATAATGGTGTGAATGGTATGACTGATGAGTTTGTGTCCTCCAGAACACAGTTCTACCTCAAGCTCTCAATTACTGGCAAAAGGCTCTTCACGTCAAACCACTTCACGTTCCCATTCGTCTCAATCGGTACTCAAACCAATGGTTTAGTTAATGACAATCACTTAATCGTATTGTGTTTTGTGTGTCAATGACAGCAAATGTCCGAACAATCAGGCCTTCTTCCCCAGCTCTGATCCGCCGCATCAGTATTGTGTGGAAAAGTGCGAGAATATCACCACTTGTGGCGAAGTGATTGTTCCCGAAGACCACTTAGAGGTTTGATCTCACAAACGGTTTAATGTTTTGAACTAAAAGTGATCATTTATTGCTATTATAACAGATATGTCGTGTCTGTGATGTGAACGGAAGGAACTGTCAGTTATATAAGTCATACAATTGGACACAAGTGGGGAATGGTATACAAGACGCGGATTTTGTGTTCTATGTGTCGGCGATGCAAACGGAGCGCTGCAATAAAGGCCATACCGTCGCCTATGCGGCCCACTGTCAACAAGAGGCAGCACTCGACCGGTATGTCCAGTGCCTCTAATAGCTCTTCCACTAACGACCAGTGCCTTACAGTCCGATTGCAGGTCACGCCAACTTGTGTCCCAATTCCATATCAACGAAACCACAAGATTTGGAGACTTTGTTGTCGACAGTCAAACATGAGATCCTTCACGCGCTCGGCTTTTCTGTTTCTCTTTACGCCTATTTTCGCGACAAAAACGGCGATCCCCTCAGCTCTCGAGGAAGGAATGGCAAACCAATTATTAGTCGTCACCTAAAGGCTCCGCAATGGAGTGATAATATAATTAGACAAATAGATAGATACGACTGGAAAGTACGAAACGGTTCAGTCAGACGTACTGTTCATATGATAGTCACTCCGAATGTTGTGGTCAGACATTTAGATCTTTTAATTGATTGATTAAAGACTTTTGAATAACTCAAATAATATTGTGCCAAACATTTTAGAAAGAGGTTCGGAGACATTTTAATTGTTCAGAACTGGAAGGGGCGGAACTGGAGGATCAGGGAGAGGATGGCACACATCTGACACATTGGGAAAAGAGAGTGTTTGAAGTAAATTACACTTTAGTACAGAATAGAGTTTTGTAACTAATGAAATGAATGGATCCATAGAACGAAGCCATGACTGGAACTCATACCCAAAATCCTGTCTATTCACGGATTACTTTAGCTCTTATGGAAGACACCGGGTATTGATTTAGAGCTCATTAGCTTTGATTGTAAACTGTTGTGTGTTTGTCCCTAAGCTGGTATACCCCGAACTACGAATTGGCTCAACCGCTTGATTGGGGCAAAAACCTCGGCTGCGATTTTGCACAAAAGAGTTGCAAACATTGGATCGATTGGAGGCGTTCCAGAGGAGAGAGCATTCATCCATTTTGTGATAAAGTCAAAAGAGATCCGTTGGAAACGGAATGCACGGACAGTAGGGATGCGGTGGCGCTTTGCAATCTCATGGAATATACATCTGATTTATTACCCAAATTCCAAAACTTCGATTACATCCCGAGCGTCAAGAACTGGAACGACACGGCCAGGTATGGCGGGTCAGTCAATTTGGCCGACTTTTGTCCATACATTCAGGAGTTTACGTGGAAACTGAATGATGTGGTCGTCCGCGGATCCAAATGTCAATACGAAGACAATAATCCGATTCCGGAGAAGAATTTCGCGCTCGAATATTACGGCTCAGACTCCAAGTGCTTCAACCATAACAATCAGATGTGGGAAGAGAGGACATGTACTCAAGTGCGTCAATGGCAGCACTGGGGAAGTGGTTGTTATAAAGTAAGCCCTACGCCATACACTAGCGTTAGTTAATTACCGTCAATACAATTGAATTGAATTTCAGTTCCGATGTAACGACGGGTTATTACATTTGGAAATACGAAACCAAAGCTATACCTGTTATTATGCCAATCAAGAACTCAAAGTACAACTCTATGCACACGATTGGTTACACATAGGTTTCTATGAAAACCCATTTTATTGTTCATTCAGATTCCTATAAAGTTTCATTTGATTTCATATGATATAGGAACGGTAGTCTGTCCGCCATGTAGTCAAATATGTGAGGTAAGGGTTTGTCATTCAACACATTGCCAACAGTGTGTCAATGAATGCTTGTTTGCCAACAGGACTGTAAGCCAGAGCTCACCTCAAATGAGATTCGGACGACAGACAGGCATAAGATATCATATAAGAAGCATTTCCTCAAGTGTTACGGTCACCCGAATACGCCAAACGCCTTATCTGTGATTTGTATCATTATTATAAACACTTTACTCCGTTATCTCAATCAAAGCTGACCAACCATTTGATTAATTTTGAGTTCATATCAAATATTAGGAATAATTTAAATAATTTGTTGATTCCATTGTTTGTAATCAAAACAAGATTTTAATACCGGTTTTATTGCACTTCAAATGATTACGTTTTGAGTTTTGATTACTTTGAAAATCCTATTATATAAAAGTGATATTTTTTATTTAAATTTTACTTAAATTATACTTTATTTATAAAAATATCAAACATTATTCATATCTAATTTTTTATATAAATATATTTAGTTTCAATTGATATCTATATTAAAATGAGTTGAATATAAGACAATCAGAACATAGTACTGATCTTTCTTTGCTTCAATTTGGGCGCTGAGTCGGTGTCCGTATCGGTGCCGATGGCCAGATAGTCGGGTTCAGACATGTATTCGTCCTCGTCTTCGGAGATGTCTTCGAATTGACTTAAACTCAATTGATTAGAGTTCGGGTCCTTTATCTTGCAGACCCTCTCAGCCAAGTCTGTGAACGTCGTGTGTCCGTCCATTTGAACGCCCGACAGGTTCTGCACTTTGGAGCGCTCCTTATGTAACAGTGAATGCAATGACTTCTGTTGTCCCAAACGCATGGCTGCGAACAGCACTTTGCCGTGATTTAAGCCGACGTCCATTATGTCGTCAAAACTGCCGAATTGCAGAGTCTTGTACTTATCGATTGGCGGCCGAATGTATGTGCAGTAATCGCTACCTTTCACCTCTTCCAACAGCTTAACACAACTAACATAAGCCAAACGGGACTGGATTTCAGGCAGATTTGGCACTCGAACGGGCGCTGAGAAGGGGTTCCAGCGCTTCCACAACAACCACCAGCCGTTTAGGGTATCGCCATAATTGGTCATATCTGTCACGTCCTGTGAGCCCACATCGATGGCCAGAATGGTCTCCGCGCCCATCACGTCGCGCATCACATCCGCCGGCAAATTGTTTACATATCCGCCGTCCAGCAGAAGGTGACCATCGATTGGGTCACAAAGGGGTGGCAAATATCCAGACAATGACATACTTGAGCGCACATATCGCCAGAGCGAGCCGTGTCTATGAACTCGCGGACAACTACTCGTTATGTCAGTCGTGAGTGTGAAGTATGGGAGCCATAGATCTTCTATTTGTCTTTCATTGAACACTTCATATATGGATCGATTGAATGCATGTCCGGTGAACATAGCCGTCACGGGATATGTCAGGTCTAAGATCTGTCTCCAGTACGAAGTCATGCCATGAGACCAGGCGCGAGCTTTTTGGGTGAAAGTTGTGATATTGTTCTCTTGACACCAAAGCGCACCCATAAAAGCTCCGATACTCACACCTCCAACCATATCAATAGGAATTCCAGCCTCAGTAATGGCTTTAATCATACCGACGTGTGCGGCCCCTCTGGCCCCTCCGCCGCCTAATACTAAGCCAATTGAGGTTCCGGTGAGAAAGCGAGCCAAACGTGATAAGTCTGAGTGAATGGATGGCGGGTTATTAAAGAGCGCTGCGTATACTTCTTTGGTCTTTGCCAGCGATCTCTTCGTAAACATTCTTTTAGGGCATCGGATGTGATGGTGTGATGAGCACCAGGACCTCATGTTAAGCCACAAAACCGTATTTTGTGGTTTCAGTGAATCGGGTTTATGTAGTAAAACCAATTCCTTCTGCGTTCTGACGGCCAGGTGTTCCAACTGTTTCTCAACGTTGCCGACCGATGGCTCCTGATCTGCCAGTGCTATCATTAATATACAGTCGGCCTGTCGTATACACCTCTGAGTCCACGTCGAGAAGTGATTGTCGCACTGATAGAGAACGATCCGGTGCTGATCCTCCTGCTGTCCTAACCACGAGCAGAGACGGTATTCCGACTGCTTCTCAAGAGCTGTCGGACCCAAAGACTTCCTCACAAACTCTGAAGTCAAATGAGAAACGGCTCCAATGGATGTCAATCCGTGGTATAACTCCATTGTGAACGCTTGAAGCGGCACATCATCTGTCACTGACAATAGGGCTACAGTCGTAAAGTTAGAGCCGGTCGGACGCCAACCCATTTCTGTGGCCGAAAATGTCTGAGCGCTCAACGTATGTGTTTGGCCGCGAATGTTGTGGTGAAGGTTTCCGAGCAATCGGTGGCCCAATAGGTGTATGAGTCGAGTGACAACCACTGGATATTTGATTTTGATAGCTTCCACTAACCCGTCGGGCAGTTTAGCCAATTCTGAATCCCTGACCGCCATGATTGTGGTCGAGCGCTGTGTATGAGTAATCACTTCTACCAGCCCTACAAGATCTCCCTTTCCGTATTCGCCCACAAATTCCTTTTTACCATTGGGTCGAGTGATCACTGACCGCAACCGTCCACTCAATACAATGTAAGTGCAGTCAGATTTATCTCCCTGTCTATAGATAGCACGACCCGACTCGTAGTGAATCCAATCCAATGCAAAATCTATTTGTCTAACAAATGGTGACAAACGTCTGACCACTGCGTGCGCCAAATGAAGCACAGACTTCGGATGTTCTGTCAGTATGTCGTAAATGTTGTCTTTCGTAATGACTCCCACTTTACAGGACTGACGCGTTTTGATAGTAAAGAGTGAGGGCTCGCCTGTTATGACAGACAGTGCGCCCACTATTTCTCCCGGATATACCACGTAAAGGTTGTTCTCCTGGTCCTTATCAATCGACTTTTGTGTCACTATTATAGATCCGGACAACACGTAAAACAGATTATTTTCTTCGTGTGTATCTTCACTCGTCAGACAAACACCGGAATTGTATTCCTTAACAATGAGTTTCCTTTTGACGAGTTCTTCGTCTTCTATATTCAAGTGATGCAGAAGTCCTTCGACAGCAATATTAAAGATCTCGTCGTCAGATAAGCCCTGAATCTGGATTTGTGTCTCATTCAGAACCAAAGAGGTTCGGCGCTTCTTCCTTTGGTTCTCTGGCGGACCGAAGTATGTGTTCAATGACTTCTGTCTTCGCGGGGATTCTAAGTCTGATCTCTTTCTTTCTGTTGGATTTTGGTCACAAAGAGTGGACTCTTCTAAGTGTTGCTCCGGTTCTGAGTTCTGTTCGCTATTAGCCATGTCTTTCAGCATTTGCTTCAGATCTAAAGATTCAGTTCCTGAATACGAGTGCGAATGTTGGCGACTATAAGCTAAGAGACTTGTGGGACGAGTGGGGCTTGTTTTGAGAGGACTCGCACCCAAATTAGTTTGTAATGTCTGTACAGTAGAGCCTATGTTTGCCCTCTTGTTGATGGGACCGGGGTTCAGCAATTGAGTGGTGAGACCCAAGTAATGGTGTAAAGCAGTGAATGTGACCCTTTGGAGGCGAACCATAATCACTTGCACCACACGAACCAATGATTCGGGATATTTCTCCAGCAATTGCTTGAAGAGAACCACTTGTAGTCTAATTATAACACTCTCTTCAATGGCTTTTGCAGACACCGTCTTAAAAGGCGCCAAATGTCCCGTCAAGACATCCATCACTGAAAGCATACTCGCAATCGATTCACCCACCGATACCTCTTTTAATATGAGATCATTGCCATCGGATTCAGTGATCGACACCTGGAGTCGACCCGTTTGCACAATAAATATACTGTCGTCTGGATCTCCGATTGAGAACAAGTGCTGTCCCTTCGGAACCGTTAAGAACTCAAGATTTTTACACAATTCCAGAAATAATGGTTTATCGAAGAATCCAAAGACACGAATACTTTTCAACATATATATCACTTCTGGAGGAAGTGGTTGTTCGCACTGATCGCCGATCTCCTCCTCCAAGAAGGCCTGCGAGGGTTCGCTCACTTGAAGAGTCAACGGCTGGTCTCTCTTTATACGAAGCAATCGTTTGGCAAACCGTAAGACAATCTGACGTTTTTTGCCCCGATATCGACCTGAGGTCAAGACAAACACATCAGTCAATCAAGACATGAGGACATGGATGACAGACCTGTTGCCTGGAGTGACGAGCGGACAGACCTCAACATCTTTCGGCCGTAAAACAAGACTTTATCTCTTTTGCGAAACCGTGGAAGTGTTGGATCCGGAAGAATTACTCGAGTCATTCGTCTCACTTTAGGCCTCAGCTTTCGGACCACATTTACGGCGAAGACTATTGCCATCAAAATGACCACAAATGTGAGTATCACTGATAATTGGTTACCAATTAGTTGATGGCTATTCATGTAAGACATGAAGATCTCGGAAACACTTTCCAACATTTCAGTCATTGTGTGACTAATGGTGGCACCAATTGGTGTGATATTGAGATAATATACGACACACTCAGAGGTTCACTGAAGAGTCCATCAATTGTCTGAAGCTTTGGTCAAACGTTTCAAATATCGTTAAGACGTGAACACAAACTCACAAATCATTGGCAATGCATTCAATGTAAACAAACTTACAGCCAATGAAACATCAATTATGTGAGCAATACGTGTGAATGCAATTGTCATCGCATTTCACAATACTTTCATTGCTTACTACAGTATTAATATAGCATTACGTAGATTTGACTCAATTATTACATGCTTGATTAACTGATCTGGTCAAATGTAATTGCCGTTCATTTTAGAAATAAAACTATTTTTAATGACAAGTAATGCTTTTGAAAACATACAGTAATGAAGTATACAAGACTTGTTTTGAGACACCAATAGATAAGATAAGCGATAGATTATTGAGTGTATAGTGAAGTACATGACTATAGTATTCATAAAATATATTGAATCCAAATTCTGGATTCATAAATATTCACATGGACATTTTACTTATGTTCAACTCATTACTATTATACTATTACTGTATATAATATTTATACTTTGAATAGCTTTATTCTGTAATAAAAAGTTTAGTGTCATAAAAGTTGGAGCAATTGATTTTCATTATCATGTAATCAACTCATACAGTATTAATAGTATAATTATAAGTTTTCTCCATATTTATTTAAAATATCATTTTAACGGGACATCCTTCTCATATGTATTGTATTTTACGATAAATGTTTATCTTGATAGGACTATATTTGATACTAGGTTGTATTGCATCTATTGTATTCCCATACAAAAGTAGAATTAGGAAGTAAGTAAGGTTACAGTAAGAGTCTTAACTTAACACAGTACAATACAGTACATTGTGCAAATAATAATATTTTTATTAGCAACAAAAGTATAGATATTTCACTTTCAACCCAAATATCAAATACAATGAATATCTCTATTTGTATATAATTTGTGATCTTTCTTTTGGGTTCAAACATAAAAACACTTCAATATAAACGTAAAGCATTGATAAATATCATATATAAGTATTTATTCAGTATTTATTTCATACAAAAGCTTTCAATTATATGAATTGATTCCTTAGACTATAAATATTATATGATAGAAAAACAACTACATTATTATTATTGTTGTTGTAGAACTGTAGAAATAAGACAGGTAACTTTTCAATTTTGTCCAGCAAAACAGGTAAAAACTAATCAAATTAGATATAAATATAC